TGTACTTGACCCGAGAGTAGCATGGTCCATTTCGGGTTGCCTTCACCATAACAATTTGACAGGATGGATATTTGAGAAAGAGGTTATTTGTGATTTATTAATATATTATAAGTATAATATATTAATTGACAAATCATATTATTTAATTAGTATTGATCAAGAATTAATTCAGTGATCAAAAGAGACTAATTAAATTAACGGGGACTGATTAAGTAAATCAATGATACTTATAGTTTGGGCTAATGATCAATGTTGATTAGAATGGACTAAGAGTTAGTCCAAAGGGCGTATCATATGGATTATTGGATCAAAGGCCCAAGGAAATGGATTAGGGTTTACAAGTTTAAACTCTAGGAATTCCACACTATAAAAGTAACCCCTTAGCTCCAAATTCACAGCCCCAAGGGTTCTAAGAGAACCCTAGCCGATTTTGGTGGTTCTAGCCTCTCTCTCAGAGTCCTCCATTTGTTCATGGTGTTTGTGACTTGTTTGAGGCATCACACTTGAGGTGCTAAGCTCTTGAAAGGCCAACAACTACACGCTACAAATAAGAGGTATTCTTCTAACTAGTTTTATGATTCATGTACCATATTTGTATGTTAGATAGGTTTCATGCTTTGGATAATTTATTGTTGCATGTATAACTAGAGAAAACTTAGATCCAAAGCATTAGTGTTGTATGTGCACCATAGGAGTGTTATAGTACTTAAAACCCAACAGCTTGCTAGATGCTTAGATCTCTTCTTGGGTTAGATTGTATGTTTTTAGCCATGTTTTGGATGGATGTTGGGATTAGGATGTACCAAATGCTTATTACTTTAGATCTAAGGTCTTCATGGACTCCTTTGGCATAAAGGTGCCAACTTTATGGAGTTTAAGGGCTTAAGTCCTTCATTAAGTCCTTTTTGAGCTTTAGAGCTTCTTATGGTCATGCATGGACGTAAAGTTAGCAACTTTACGTGGTATTTCAGCTTAAAGGGGTCAGATCTGCATTATGGAGCAAAGTCTTAACGGATTAGGAGCTTAATCCCGAAGTTGGCTGAATGGGTTGAGTACGCTGGGTGTACAAGCCTGTACACACAACGTACAAGCCTTCGATGCAATACGCTTAGCGTACCAGCTGAGTACACCCAACGTACTCAGTCTGATGGCATTTCGATTATGGACTTTCGGTTTGGACCTTCTTTTGGGCTTGGAAGGTTAGGGTTTAGTTGGGCCATTTGTTTTCGGTAGTTTTGGGCCAAATATGTTATTGGGCCTTGGGCTAGGGCCCATGTGGAAGGATTGGGCCCAGAGTAAGATGACGACGAAGGTAGTAGTTGGTGGTGAGGTTTAAAGTGGAGAGAATAGGGGGTGTGCGAGATATAGTGAGAAAAAAGAAACTTTATTAGGTTTAAAAGTGAAGGGTGGGTTACTTGGGGTGGTGAAAGCTTTTTTTCAAGTTATAAATAATAATAAATAATATTAGATTAAACAAAAAATAAATGTCCAAAGGCAATATGGTCATTTTAGATATGACACAGACTAAAAACATAACAAAACCGTTTGTCAGGATGGAACGTGTAAATTTAAAACAAATGGGAAATAGGGATGGTCCAAATTAATTTCTAAAAATAAAACCATACATGCAATTTGAAACTTGAATGAGTTGAAGTGTTGAATCATTAACGACTCATGTAATTTTTTCTCATGTAATTTTTTCTAAAAAAATATATTTAGGATGGTTAAATCATAAAATATGAACCTACATTAATTTTTATATAATTCAAAGTTTTGTAATTAAGCAAGTGAAATGTTGTATATCTCGTTAAGGTGACCATCTTTAAATAAAGACAAAACTGTCAAAATGGTCTCTATGGTAGGGATGAGAATTTGACCTGAAAATCCTAACCGAACAGAAAACCGAACTTAACCGAACCGAACCGAATTAGGCCCGATAAGCAATTTGATTTGGGTTTCGAGTATCTATATTATGCTTATTCGATTCTTGGGTTATTCAGTTCGGGTTACTCGAATAAGAGCTTATTCGGTTCTAAATACCCGACCCGAATAAGCATTCATCGTCCCCTTTCTTTGATCGACATAAATCAAAATCACAATTCACACTTCTATCCTCATCGTTCATAACAGAAAAAAAACCTACGCTCGTCCTCGTCATTTCAAAATCGACCAATCTTCTCAACTATTTCCAAACTCGAAATCACTTCTGTCGATCCTTCCTCTTGTTTCAGACTTTCAAAAATCGACCCTTCCTATTACCTCTAAGGATTCACGAATTCCTACTTTTTCTAGTCATGAAAAATTGGGCTCCAACTCAAGAAACTCAAGTACGCAATTAATTCTCATTATGTTAATCTACTATGTAAATGTTATTCTTTCAATGTGTTATTGTGTTATGTTAGTATTTGAATGTTTTATGTTGATGTATAAAAGTACATTGTTATTCTATTATTCGGGTTATAGAATCCTAATACGGTTTATTCGGTTTGTTTTGGTTATATTAGGTCTCTAATAATCTTGTACATGTTATTCGGGTAATAACCGAACCGAACCGATTAATGATGTTATTCGGGTCGGAACGGGACCAACCCGACCCGAAACCGAATAACCCGAAAACCAAAAAAGAGTAATTGCATGAACCGAACCGAACCGAACCCGTATTGGTTAATCGGTTCGGTTTTTGGTTCATGCAATTACTCTTTCGGTTTTCGGGTTATTCTGGTTCGGGTCGGGCCGGTTCGGTTCCGACCCGAATAACATCCTTACTCTGTGGTTAGCTGAAAATTACTATTTTGATCCAAAAAGGTTTGGACTAGCACCACTAATCCAAAACTTTTATTTTGTTGTGGTTTTAGTCTAACTTTTTTTGAAAAATATTTAAAATGACAGATTTGCCTTTGATATTTTCTATTTTATTTTATCAATTTTATTATATCAATTTTATTATTTTTTTGATTAAAATAAATAAAACGAAAAGATAAAATGTAAACACTCCTCCTCCCTTTATCTGGTAGGTGCATCACTTAACACCGCCATCACCCGTTAGCAGAAGAACCACCATCACCGAAAGTTGCCGTCGCCGGAGAAGGAGAGAGACGAAGACAAAGAGAGACACAAATGAAAATAGGGTTTGCAAAACCTAAACCACCTCAGACATTTGAGAAAGAGATAGATTATGAATGTCAAACCATCTGTGTCACTAGGGTTTTCAATGACAGGTGACGACGAGAGGTTTTTCTGAGGATTTCCCACCGTCGCCACCAATTACATCGACCTTCAGATCTATGCCGTCCTTCATCTCCATTGTAGCTCGCCACCTCAGATCTGGAAAAACGAAGAAGAAAAAGCGACGATCGTTTAGGAGGGAGGTTTCAGATATAAACAACCACCAGAGCCGTCTTTGTCCGTCTCGATCTATTAAAGCTTGGTCGCATAAAGAAGAAGGGCAACGACATTTTTTTTGGAGAGACGAAGGATAAACATTGGTTGCGAGACGAAGGACAACGTTGATCCTTCGGTCCTCTGTTCGTCGTGAGGATCTGGACCTGCAATACAAACGACTATGATGATGTTTCTAGGGTTTCGACGTTACGAGGGTGGCTATACGACAAAGGTGGTCCAACCTGGTTATGTTAGAGCTCTACGGCGGTGAGGCTTTACGTTTGCAGATCTTTGGCCATAGTGGTGGTCCGACAAACTTGACAAACGTTGTCGCGCCTGAAGCTTTTATGGTTAGGTTTTCACTGCCCATATGATTAGGTTTTTGTTGTCGGAGTTTGCTAGAGAAGATGAAGGGTTTGACGGTAAATCCAACACCGACGGTGAAATTCGATGTTATTGGCGGCGTCGATGGCTGTTTCCGGCGAAATTAAAGAGAAATAAAGATAAAGTCTTGGAGGTTTGGGTGGGTAGGTAGGTTTATATTTTATTTTAATGAAATAAATGGTAAAGTAAATGTGAAATGGTAGATTCGTCATTTTTAGCATATTAAAAATCAATTAGATTAAAAACGCAAAAAAGTAAAAATTTTCAACCGGTGGTGATAATCCAAACCTTTTTAGACCAAATTAACAATTTTCGACATATCATATGGGCCATTTTTTCAATTTAGTCTTAGATAAAATTCAAAGTTTTATTGCTAAATCGTAAAAATTACAAATATATAGATGGTTAAACCAAAAAAATATGAAAAGCTATGGTTTTTTTTCCTAAATAAATATGATGAATTTGACATATTTCACAATAGGATGAGTAAAGAGTCACCTCATCAATACTTCAAGGACTAAAAACATATTTTCTTTACCAAAGAAAAAGATTACGTTTATCAAATTGCAATAAAACCCCTCCACAACTTGTGACCACATTCTATCCACCCACCCAAAAGAAAATAAATAAAAAAAGAAAAAAAAGGGGATCTTTTTTCACATTCTCCTTCTCTCTCCCCTAAACTGTTCAGCTGGTTTAAAAACCTGTTGACTTCTTCCCCGGAAAGTGCCAATCATGGTGGGTAAACCAAGATAAGGAAACATGAAGAAGGTGGTAAATTACCAAAATACCCCTGACTGTTGCTTGATGGAAATGGCTGTTCGGTGAAAAAAAGATTCTCTTTTTCACTTTTCTTTGCCACCTTCCCAGTACCAGAAGGTTAATGGACCTGTATCTTCCATGATTGAGAACAAAATTACGTTTTTGCCCCTGGAAGACTAACATAAAGGCTATATAGTGGGCACACCCAGATCAGAAGACCCTCATGACTCCATGTCCATCGGGTCTTCTGCAATATAATAAATACCACAACACCAAATGGAGGAATCTTTTTTATAAACGATCAAAAGTGTTGGATTTATAGATTAAGCAAAGGAGTAAAGAGTAATTTTAAAAAGGGTTACCATCACAATCACATCTCAATCAAATTTAAAAAAAGAAAAGAACCAGTCATCAAGGAAACCGATGCCTAAAAACAAGGTACTACCAACAACTGCACCACATCAGAACACACAGCACTCATCTTTCTCTTTCTCTTTCTCTAAAAAAAACTATTTTCTTTAATTAAATGATTTCTTTTTCTGCTTCTTTCTATCTTGCAAAATATATACAATACAAACACACCACCCACAAAGAAGAGGGAAAGAAAGAAAGAAAAATGGCACACACAACTCATCATCATCAGAAAAACAAAGAAAGAGTCCACACACACCACCCATCTTCAATGGCCCAGTTGGACCAAAATTTATGTAAAAAAGAGTCTTGAAAGATAGAGAGAGAAAGAGAAAGAGAAAGAGAAATCATCAGTGAGATAGATAGAGAGAGAAAGAGAGGGGAGATGTCTTCAAACTCCAACCAAACCCACCTCACACATACACATACACATACACACACACGCACAAAAACAAAATTCACATACAGACCAATTAATTATGGTTGTTCCACAAATACCCTTCTGCAACCCCCCAAAAATCTCCATCTTCATCACTCCATTGTCTACCAAACGAACCGATATATGTGGGCTTTTTGGGGCTTTGTCTTTGGTCAGAGTTTCATCACCAACAACAGAGAAAACAGGAAAAGCAAGAACCTTCTCACCCCCACACCCACACACACCCATTCATCTTTCTTTCTTTCTTTAAACTCTTTCTTCCCCACACCTCGCTTTCTATCTCTCTCTCATCTTCATATTTCCTTCTTCACTTTCTCTCTCTTCTTTTATCGAATTACGATTTTTTTTTCAACAAAGTTGAGATCTGATGAGTAAGAAGATGAAAGGGGTTGCTTTTGATTCATCTCCTCATGTGTCTTATGAGGACGCTCGAGCAAGATTTAAGCATCAAACCCTCCTCCAAGATTACCGGGAGTTGGAACAGGTAAAGTTTGTTCTCTATTTTGTTTTTGATCCTCAAGATTCGTTAGGGTTCTTGTTGTTTTGATCATATGTTGATGACGATTCTTAAGATTTCTTCATCTTTATGCCGTTGATTTCGTATATGATCTCTTCGTGTATTCCCTAAATAGATCTATTGTTTCTTTCAAGATTATTGGAAAAAAAAATCATGTCTTTTTTCTTTAATAATCGAATTTGAACTCTCTGATCTACGTTTCCCCTTGATTTTCTTGATAAATTCTCATCACAAAATTTGTGGGGTTAGGGTTATAATTAATTTTGTGATCTTGGAAGATTTCAATCAACTACAGAAGGGTATTTGTGTCATAAATATTTTGTGATCTTTGAAGATCGCCGGTGACTCTTGGAGCCACCGACAGCTGTTAACAAGCCGGCGAGCTTTGTTGAACTGGGCTGAGTTAACTCGGTTATGAAATTTACAGGAAACAGAGGCTGCAAGAAACAAATTGGAGGCCATGAAGCAAAAGAAGCAAACTTTAGAAGCTGAAGTTAGGTACGATATCACCTTTCCAATCACTTTTACCTACTAAATTCATTACAACATACTTTCATTTACATGTTTATTAAAGCATCCTACTTTCATTGTTATTATTTTAAAAATACAAAGCACAATGATTTAATAAGAAAAAAATATATGGAAGTACATTGTTATTTATTGTGATAATAAGATAATTTATAACTTTATCATGAACTGAAATTGAGTTCTTGTGAATACAGATTCTTGAGGAGAAGACACAAATTTTTATTGAAATCCAAGTCTACTACAACTTCACAACAAGTGAAATCACATAATTTAGAAACAACCCAATTCAGAAAAAGCAAGAAGGAAAACGTCCACCCCAAAAAGGCAAAAACTTTACACAATTTGCCCCCGATTCACAACCTAAATCAAAGGGGAAGAGTGTATACAGAGAAGAAAAACGTTAATCCAAGTCGACCACCTCATGGGGATAAAAATGTAAATTTGCATAGTGTCAACATGTCGCCGGTGACTGAATTCAATCGGAAAGAAAACGGTTTTGGTGGTAAAGAAGCTCGGGTTCCTATATTTGACTTGAACCAAATATCCGTAAGTCAAATAGTCAAATGGGTGTATATGAATTATGAATGTTTCTTTTTTACTTAATGTAGAAAGAACACAAGATACTTTTTACAAATTTGTTTACTGTATCCTTTTTGTTTATCGAGACAACATTTTATCCACAAAGTAAAAAAAAAAAAAAAAAAGCTCTTTGATAGTTACTTGTTGTAACGTTTTATTGTTTGTTGATTGTTAGATTGAAGAAGAAGAAGAGGAACACAATGATTTAAAGCTATCGATTTGTAGAAATGTTGGGGATGCTTCATCAAATAGAGCAGGGAAGAGGAAGATCTCATGGCAAGATCCTGTGGCTTTAAGAGTATGACTAAAGGTTAATTATAGATTTGGGTTAGGGGTAATCTTTATAAGGCCAAGACTTTGATTTTGACTTGGTATTCGATTGTGGTTTATGGTTTAAAAAAGAAAAGAACATTATGTAAAGAAAAGGTTTGTGGGATTAGTGGGTTTTCTTTTTTTAATTTTTAATTTTGACATGGAAAACAATATGAAGGATGAAGAAATCATTGTTAATGTATATCTTGATAAATGATAAATCCTGTGTTTGTTGACACAATGACACCTCTTTGGCTGAGTAAACAAGGTATATAATCTTTTGGAAGATTTTGATGTTAGGTTAAGGTTTTGTTTGTTTATGGTGTTTTTTTTATACTTTTTGCATTGTAAATTTGGTTGTATGGTTTGTTTCTGTTATTAACGTGTAAGAAAGCAACCCACAAGGCAACAACCATGTTATTTCATCTTGGTGGAACACGTCGATTTGTAGGATAGCAATTTGTTGGGTATTTTTCTAAATTTGTTTTGTTTGTAGACATACGCAATGTGGTTGTCTTTATATCAATAAAAAAAAGTAGTGGTTTTCCTAGCTTCAAGATGAATTTAAAACATGAAACAATCTTTGAAATTTCAGTTACATTGAATAATCCGAATAAGTTCGAAATGATTAATAGATTCTTCATCACCAAAATATATTGCAACTATTGAAACATCTCATACGGATTCCAAAATACCACACTAAACTATAAATTACATAAAGAGCTTGAGTTTCTTTTTAATCACCACCAAAATCATTTCTTCGAGATATCGGGGTACTTATTTTCGAACGTCAAGTTTTAATAAGAACTAGCAAGAAGCTACAAAAGAATTACATATCTAAAAAAACCAAAAAACCAATGATGGGATCCTTCTTCCATCATAACTCTTTCATCTATCTCAAGTCTTAACCACTTGGTATTCTTTTACGAATATTAAACAAAATGTCCTTTCTCGGTTTTTTATTAGAAAATATAGCGAAACTTTTCCATTGGTCCATCACGTTGATGAATTAAAGGAGTAGAGTTGATAAGGAAAATAGGATTACATTAAGAGGAAGAGATAAGAAATGTAACACCTGTTTTTTACGAGTAAACTTTATTTTATTAAAATTAAAAAAATAAATAATAACAAGTATATTTAATGAATTAAATATATAAATAAAGGCAAATGTTTGAAAATTGGAAGTTGATTCGAGTATTATTACATGTTTGACCTTTACTTAACCTAATTAACCTCTTGCAGGACTAATTTTGTTAAGAAATTAGTTGGTTAAGGTCTAAATGGTAATTACAAAATCTAGTCAAGTGTTTTGGGGCTAAATAAGAAAATTAGGAAGTCATAGGACCTAAAGTGTCAAGTTCGCAAACTGATGAACATAAGCCTCGACACTCATTTCTCTTTCTCGTTTGAATGAATTGGAGGGATTGAAAGAGCTTAAAGATGATTGTGAAAGTAATTAAGGAGATTTGAAATATATTATAGTTTAATGGGAGGTTTGGAGCTTGAATCCACTGTTTGGGAAGAACATATATATCCATTATCTTCAAATCTCATCTAAAGCCTTCACAAATATGAATCTATGATGGATTGGTGTTGAGGAATGTAGGTTAGAGGATGATTATAATCTTAAGATACAATTCTAGCTTCAATTTCTCATTTGCAAGTTAGAATTGGAATCAAATCATGTTTTAGAGGTTTTCAAATCCTAGAATTGGAGGAATTCATTTTTAGTTATGATGAACAAAATTAATGTTTGATTTGATTAGGAATCAAGTTTCTTGCTCTCATATTGAGCTGATGAATCCAAAACATGTTACTATCGAACTTTGTTGAGCTAATTGATGATTTCAAGTCTCTAAAGGAGAGCTTCAATGGAGTTCTAAGCCTGAATGTGATGACTTGCTTCTAAACATATTGAAATTTCAAGTTATATCATGAACCTAATTTATATGATCATTTTGAATCATATTTGATGGCATTTAATCATCAATTGAAGCTAATGTCTCATTTGGAATCTTATGTGACTTCTAATAGATTTAATCAAAGTTTTATTAGATCTTGAACTTAGGATTGTAAATCATTGTGTTAATGATGATGTGATATGTTAATCAAGGTTTAAAAACATATAATTGGGTGTTAAATAATCATACTGAGTCATTAGTAGTGAATAGAAGGAAGTTATAAGAAGGTATTCGTTCGATAAATGGTGTGTTCGACAAAATTAACGGCTAACTGATAGCTGGTAGCATTTTGTTGAACACTACGTGAGGTAGTTTTTAGATTTGGAACATTCTGTTTAAACTAAACGCTAAAAACATGTAGTGCTAAACGAGATTTTTTGTTCAAAACAGAGCGTTTTATCAAATGTTAGAAGCTCCCAAACGCTCTGTGTCAAATATGCCAAAAATAGTTGTTAAATGACTTCCCTCCATTTATTATCCAATTCATCATATGGTTATTAGTTTTCAAGTTTTCATAAGTTGGCCGGATAAAACTTCTATATTCTTCTCTACTTATATTTCACTACAATCTCGTTATAATGCATTATGGACTGAGTTTTCAGGGCGATCGTTGTAATGAGAGGGGATGGATGTTGGGTTGTGTTTTTTCGAGGAGAGAGGTGGGGGAATAAGGGTTAAGGATGTTTCTTTGTCCAATTTCTTCCAGCCCCATCATGTTCCATCTTTTTGGGTTGGATTAAAATTTTGAATATTATTACCCTATGACTTGGTATTTGACCCACACAATCCTTGTTCCATCTTAGCCAAATGCTACTCAAATAATATTTGTAAAAACCGATCCAATTGAATTGTGATTCAATCGAGTTTTAATTTAATATAGATTATTCCGATCGATATTTCAAAAACAGAATCAAACAACCACCCTTAGTGAAAATGGTGTTTTTTTAACGGAGCACAATCACTTTAAAGGCAAACCATGTATAAGAAAAAAGTGACCAAATAGGTACATGGAACATAGCTCCATACCCTATCGATTCGTTAACTCCCCAAGCGAGTCACCGAAAACCGACTACTGCCAATTAAATCAGTGTTTTTTGAAAAACTATTTTCATTTTAATAATAAATCGTATACAAGAATATAACTAAATATATACACAAAATATAGTTGTCGACCTATCAAGCCATTAACCCTATAAGGTAAGCAAACTTAGAAACACAAGCACTGAATGGTGGTGTAACGACCCAATTTTTCAAAAGAAAATTTTCATTTTTAATTAGTCAAAACACTTTTCCATAAACCATGAAATCACAATACAATTGTTTTCAAATTCATATCCATAACAATATTATTTCCAAACATCAGAGTGTCTCATAAAATGTCTGAGAGAGTGCACGCCGCGCCATCAAGCCTTGCCCTTTCCCTTGGGCTTAGATGTACCTGAAACAAATCCACAAACTGTAAGCTAATGCTTAGTGAGTCCCCCAGAGCATACCCCACACACAATCCACATAACACATATCAAGTTAGCTATAAAAGCTACATATATCACATAAGCCATGCATACTAACATATAAGGATGCCGTGGGCTCCCCCAGGGTCTTATACATTCATGTCATGGGCTCCCCCATGGTCTTTACCTAGGAATGCCACGGGCTCCCCCACATGGTCTTATATCCAACTGCCACTGGCTCCCCCCCCGGGGGGGTTTTCCATGCAATAACATAATAATCAACTAGCATATCATATATCACAGAAGTATTTACCATACTACATAACTCATACATAAACATATAAGGATGCTGTGGGATCCTCCCAGGGTCTTATACCACCATGTCATGGGCTCCCCCATATGGTCTTTACCTAGGAATGCCACGGGGTCCCCCACATGGTCTTATATCCAACTGTCACGGGCTCCCCCGGGGTCTTCCATGCAAATATCACATAATCACTAGCATACCACTTCTCATAAAGCTAACTATCATACCACATATCTCTACTACAGCTAATGTACCATATATCATAAAATGGGCCGGCCTTGGTGCCGTAGACCCATTGGTATGGTGAGAAGACTCACCTCTCGGATGCTTAACTGACAAGCTAAAATCAGATATGTCCCACACACTGCTCCAACTCCACTGCCTATAGTCATTATGTGATTAACTTGTCATAATCCCATAATTACCCTCAAAGTCAACCCTGGTCAAAGTCAAGGTCAACAGTCCATGTTGACCTCAACTCGTAGAGTGCATCCTAGCAACTCGTCGAGTTCCTCCCGAGTCCATTCCACTGACTCCCGCATCAACTCGCCGAGTCACCCTAGTGACTCGTCGAGTTCATCGAATGTCCAGAAAACTAATGTTCGCTCATACCAAAACCCTAACCCTTCACTGCTCTCATTCAGAAACTCAGAAACGAGCAAACCCTACCCCGAATCGTCGAGTCAACTAAGGGACTCGACGAGTTCCTTCAGTCCTTTACATGTTCAACCCTTTTCAGTGGGATCTAAGGTCCCAAACTTCAGATCCAAACTCCCCTAGTGCAGATACCACGTAAAGTTGCAAACTTTACGTGCATGCAAGGCCCTTCAAGGCTATAACATCAAAACTAGGCTTCTTACAAGGTTTTTGTGCATGTAAAGGGGCTAGGCTGCATAAAATGAGCAACTTTATGTCATTAGGGACCTAGAGAGGTCCAGATCTGGAACCATATCCTTGTGATATGTCCAGATCCAAGTTTGACTCCATTTTGCACCAAAAATGGCCATTTACTTCCAAGAAAAGGGATCTAATCAACTAGAGATCAAGGTGACGACTTTATACCTCAAAATGATGGCCAATACATAGTAGATGTCGGATTTACTGTACCTCCCCTTGCTCCTTCCTCTTCAAGCTATAGAATCCTTCACAAATACCCCAAAATCACTCACAAAAGCTCTTACTCTCACTCAAGAAGGTGCAATGTCGAATTAGGGTTTTCTCTGGCTAATAGGGTGATAAGGGAGGCCACAAGAGGCGGGTTATGTTCCTTAAATATGGTGCAAACCCTAAAAATTAGGGTTTCTCTTTACATCTCCGACTTGTCGAGTAGAACCCAAACCCCGCGTCCCCATACAGTCTCTTGTTACAGGTGTTACAAGAGCAAAAAACAAAATTCATAAAAAATTCCAATTTGCAACATGCTTCTTTCTTCGAATATGCTTTTATATTATGTCAAATTGCAAGAAATAGCAACATGTTTTGTTATTTTTACCAAAATGGTAATGTACTTCAATTTTTACCCATAATAACAACATAAATTATAACTTTGTACAAATCATTACATAGTTTACCTAGAGAATAGATAACTGGTTACCCTTTAAATGATTAAACAGAAGTGCACATTTCAAACCAGTTTTTTGAGAAGCGGTTAGGTTAAAACCAAACCATCTGTTACGAGAACGTTATACTATATAACTGATACCGGTTTTTCTACAATAACCGAACGGAACCGGTTTATAAACCAAAAGAATCAGTTTTTTAATGCAATTTTACTTGTAAAAAAAAACATATTGCAACCAATACCCGTCTAAAAAAAACCGAAACCAGTTGCACCTCTAAGCATAACACGCTACTAAATGGTTTTACCTTTACTTTGTTCCTCTAATAAAGTCTACAATATATCAACCAATTGGGCCGATAAAAAGGGCCGGAACTCGGACGACCCTCACCAGATCGGGCCGGGTTTTGGGCCAAAATCGAATATCAGATGACAAACAACAATGTAAACCAGTCCAGTACAGTTTGTCCGCTCGAGAATTTGGGATTTCGCTCAATAGAAGAAAGGCGATTCACGTCGGCTTCTCTCTCCTCCTCTCAGGCCATTGCAGCTTGTTGAATGTGTGTATTCTTGTTTTCAACGTTCTGAAACTCACATCTGTAGCCACATATAAGAGGGTGGCAATAGCTGGTTGTGCACTCTAGATGCTTGATGATATGTCTAACTGAAGTTCGGCATCAATATTAGAAGTTTGCGTCAGGTATGAAGAAAAAATACGACTTCATTTCCTTTAGGTTGCAATGCATGTGTAACAAACGACATATGCACTCACATTCTTGCGACTTGTCTTATGAATAAAATATTGCTCATATTTCAATTCAAATGCTTAGTCACTAGCCAATGATATGGATTCACAGGATTTTTCTACTGTTTATTTAGAATGCCGAATACATACTGTTTGCAATTACTTAAAGGAGTTCTCTTTTCCCTTTTTTCCCATGCCTGTTTATTTCATTTCAGTCCATATCAAGATGGGAGAAGAAATGCCTGAAATTGTTGCATTTATGAAGCTGGCGTTAGAACAGGCTAAAATTGCATTTGACAGTCTTGAGGTGCCTGTGGGGTATGTCTTATCAAATTCTTTGGTACTTTGACTCTCATTTGTCATATATAAACGAATTTCTTTTTCATGGAACAGATGTGTTATTGTTATGGATGGGAAGGTCATATCATGTGGAAGAAATCGGACTAATGAAACAAGAAATGTATATACTTTTATAACAATTTTCTATTTTCTGTTTGTAATTCTGGTTAACTCACCATTATGTTAACACTAACACTAACAAATTGACCTCTAAAATGCAGGCTACACGACATGCTGAAATGGAAGCTATTGATTTTCTGCTTAAGGAGTGGAAAGAAAAGGGACTTACGAAACATGAAGTTGTTGAGATGTTATCAAAATGCTATCTTTATGTTACATGTGAACCATGTATAATGTGTGCATCTGCCTTATCATTTATTGGTACTCTTATTCAACATAACACACCATAGGCTGCATTTACTATATTTGGCGTACATTAGACTAAGACTGCAATTAGACAAAAAACAACTTTTTTTTTCTCCCAAAAAGGTGGAACAAGGGCTGTGACTGATGTCAATAGGACAAAAATTGCAACTAACAAGGATTGAGACTGGTGTCAATAAAAAATACTGATAGAAAGCTTGTCCGGTCCAATCACGTAATGTGTAACAAATGTAGTTTTAATGAGACTTTTAATTTGATATATAAATATGGTGCCCTCTTTTTCACTTACACATGGATGTAGGTATAAAAGAGGTGTACTATGGTTGTGGGAATGATAAATTTGGAGGGTGTGGATCAATATTATCCTTGCATACAAATACATCGGATAGTGGTGAAGATGTTGGGAGGAAAAGTTACAAATGCACGGGTGGGATAATGGGTGAAGAAGCAGTTTCTCTTTTTAAAAACTTTTATGAGCTTGGAAACCCTAATGGTATGTTAGCACATATGTGCTCTTAATTACACATTTATCCTTTGACTCATGTTGTTCCTTTAGCAAATAAAGTTTCCCCCTTTGTTTGGTGCAGCTCCAAAACCTCATCGCCAACCGATTCAACAACCATGACATTTGAATGGTGTTTCCGTTTTGACAAATGCATGTTTCTTGCATCTTGTAACTACAATTTGGTTATTGTTTAATCGAGTTGTTACAATAGTTTGTGGCATCATCAACAAGTCATCACTTAATTTAAAATTGTGAAATTTCATAAAGATTGAACAAAAAGATAAGAGGAACAAATTGAAAGCTGAGTGGTTAAGGGTGATTGGTATGGGTCATCCACTACATGGAGGATCCTATATGGCACAAGCTTAACAACGTTAAGGCCAACATAACACCACCCTGGCCTCAAGTTCTTTTAAAAGACGTTGCCCTCTCAAAGCAAGACAACGCCGTTCCTATTGATTCAAGAGTTGTACTTTACACATGAATAGTTGTCCTCATTTTATAAAAAAATTTAAACTATTATAACATAGGAAATTATTTTGGTGTGGTGATCATTTCCAAGCTAAAATTGTATGGTGTGGAGAGTGACATGGCATGTGAGATGACAAAAAAAAAATGGTGTGGAGGTTAGGACTCATACCCATCGGCCTAAGCTAACAAAAGTTTGAGATATATATTAAACTAGGATGTTCTTGCGGGTCAGTAATTGATTTAAAAAGAGAAACTCTTTTGATAGCAATAAAAACTTAGGAGGACTTCAGTTGCCAAACCAAAAAAGTCAAGGACCAAAGCCATGTATAGAAACTTAAGACTTAAGCTGACAAAGCGGACCAAAGCCATGTAAGCAAAATGCTTAAAAATAAACACAAAAATGTAATTTACGTCAAAATGTGGACAAACTTGAAACATGAAAAAGTATACAAAATTACGCCGAAACATAAACACACTCAAATTTATATCGACACGTACATGGAAAAATAAGTATTTTTTTTAAAAAAAGTAACGAACAAGATTTTCAAATTTATATCGAAACATTGACCACCTTAAAAATAAATACATAATAAATTAGTTTTTTTTTTTAATAATCTAACGAATTTTAAAAAATTCAAAGTTGAAGGGGTCCAAGTGATATTTTACAAAGTTGATGTTTCATGTGTGGTAACCAGAGAATTAAATTATGTATATTATGGGGTAAATACGGAATTCTAAAAAATGAAGAAGGTGAACATGACATTTCAAAAAGTTCAAAATTGAGGGGGTGAAAAGCAACATTTTAAAACAGAGGGTGGAAATGGGGATATTTTAAAAAGTTCAAAACTGAGAGTGTAGAAACGACATTTTAAAAAACTAAAGGGATGAAAAGTGTCATTTTCCAAAGTTAAAAATGTAAATGGATGCAAAGTAAAGGGGTGAACCAAAGCCAGCTCCACAACTTTGGTTTTTAGAATAAATATAATTTTTTTTTTTTAACTTATGTGGGATTAAGAATAAGAACTCAACATTTAGATCACAGTTAGACTTAAATTAACACAACATAATCAAATTCTGCATATGATCATGTCATTTGGTGTCAAATTAAAGTATATACCTTATTTTTGCAGATAAAAGACATCTTAGATGGTTTAAAAACATTTAAATAAATTTATTAAATTATATGTCAAGCTAAACATCATGTTGATTGTTGAATTCATTACCCATAAACAATAAGAACAATAAAAAAATCCATACAAATCAACATATGACATTCACATACCAACAATTGACCAGTCAACATATAACCTTCTTGAAACAAAGTCAAAGCACTAAGATTTGTGACATCAATCATATTATTTGTTGATACAAAAAAAAGGCACAAACCAAAACTCTAGTTTAAAAGATTAACCATGGTTTATATGGCCATTTCATAACAAAAATAGTAAGTAATAACTTCAAGTATGATATATTACCTTTTTACCCTTTCGGATTGCTCTTCAAACTGGAACAAGAGAGTTATAATGCTCACCAAGCCCAAATGCATGCTTATGATACGACAAAACAATACTTGAATCCAAAAAATCACCAGATTTATACTCTTTTCCCATTTCCACATCAGGAAAAGACCCTGAAAATATCATAATATGTTTCTTTAAACAATGAGTCAAAGCCCCAAGCTCAAGTTGACCACCCCAAGCAGCTGTTGACTCCACTTCATTACAATAACTCTCAAATCTTTCATGATAATCTCCATCTTCTTCTGTTTCTGATAGAAAAAACGGAAGAAAATCTGATGAATTCTTCCTCATATAATCTGCCACCATTTTTCTAAGTTCTTGAAACGTGTAAAAAGATGAACTTTTGCTTTTTATTTTCAACTGATCTTCAACAGCTCTGTATAAACAATGCCCATCTGGTTTTATTTCATTGACTATAAGACCAAGTGGTTTGACTTTTTTCTCCAATTTTTCATTTTCGACCATTTTGTCACTCACAATATTGCTTTGTTCTTCTTGTATTCTTTGCTCTCTTGCTGCTTCTTCTTGGGCTCTTTTTTCTTTTCTTTTTGCACTTTTTGTGGGTTTTGAATGTTCGGGTTGGGTTACAGAGACCCCAGCTATGGCTTTTGCTAAAATGTCGATATTGTCCTCCTTGATTGTGGTGTTACTAGCATAGCCTACAGTTGCAAGTTCGCCTAAATGTTTTTGTTTTAGGTCACTTGTGAGTTGAGAGATTTGTTCTTCCACTTGTTTCTTTTTAGCTTTTTGCTCAGCTTTACTGCCTTTAGCTGCTGCTTTCTTTAGTGCGATTTCCTTGTTTTGTAATTGGGTGATTTCTTTTCTGTAATTATTATACCAAAGTCATCATTTTTGTACTTATAAATGCAGAAATTACTTAATTGAAAGAAGGGTACCTGTGTCTTGAAAGCATCTCCTCACGGGTTTCTGTTTCTTGAATCTCTTTAGTCTCACTTTCCTCTGGTTCTTGGGTATTTTCCATCTTCAAAACTCTGAAATCACAAGCTTTATGAGTTTGTAAGATTAGATTTAAACTTCTAAATAGTTATGATCTTAAAAACTGGCATACTATTTTATTGTAATTGAAAATAGATACTGGTTTCTAGTTGCCGGAAAAGAAAAGACGATGCAAATAATTTATGACAAGCACATATTGGGGGTTAAATTTGTAAGAGAACTATATATATATATATATATATATATATATATATATATATATATATATATATATATATATATATATATTGTATTTAGAAGGTAAATAGTTGAAGTAATTCCTAATTATATACCAAAGGGGGCAAATAATTTAGTTATGAAGATGATAAGAAAAAAGGGGTTACAAAGAGCAAGCTTTTCTCGGAAAGTAATAGATTTGATTTTCAAAAGCCAAATTGCAACTCTTATTTATTGGAACAGTGGGAACACCAATTGTTTCATGAATCCGAGTACTAAATTACAACCATCTTATAAAAAAAATATCCCTAATTTGATACTGAAAATCAAAGCCTTCACATTTTTGTATTGCGAATTCGATTCACTCGGGAATAACAACAAATTTAGGTTTTAAATTCGCAGATGAAGAGAAAAGAGGCCTATAGATGTTAAATTAATCAATCGAGTGACGAAGAAGATGAAGCATTACCGGAGGTTTCTTAAATGGCGAAGTGAACAGCAGGAGGCAGCAAGCGACACTGCGGAGAAATGGCACGAATTAAGCACGATGATCAGGGTTTTTATTAAGCGATCTACATATTTGCATCTAACCTCCAGCATTTTTCAGTTATTTTTTTAAATACCCCTTGAGTTATCAAAAAGATAATAGTTACCTCTTAACAATTTTTGGAATACAAAATAACTAAAGTGAAATGTGTATTTGCCATTTGAAAATGAAAAATACGACAGCCTGTCGATCAATAGGATAAAATGAAGTTGCAAATTAAAGGAATAAAAGAAATACAAAAAGGTAGAAAAAAGGAGTTACAAAAGGTTTTCAAGGTCTATACAAAACAAAGCATTATTGGAAAATGAGTTGTGAAGAAGGGGGTATGTGAGGTGGACGATCGCAATGAGTGATGTTATCAAGATGACCCATTTTTTTTACATACACGTTGATGCGACATCGGCTCCGACCACCTGCTCTGAGGATGTGCTTCTACGCCGGAGACGGATCTGCGAGGTCACAACAGACAAGCCCGTTAGAGCCGCCCCAGGGACTGTGCCCTGGGAGCGGGCTCCGACGGTCAAGTTAGATCATCTGGTAGATCTGAGATGGCTCTCTTTAGCTAGAGGGCCATCTTGGTGCTGGTGGTAGTGTATGGTGATTGACGGCGGTGGGTGGCGGCTGAGCCACCCGACCGGAGTATTGGGTGGCGGCTGAGCCAAGGGGAAGATCCCCCTCCATGGAGGAGATACTATTCATTATATAGGGGACAATTAGGTCAAGGGGAATTAGGTTAGGCCTTGGGCCAGCCCAATTTAGGCCCAGCTAGCAAGGAGTTGGGCGAGGTCGCCTGGAGGCGCCGGGCGAGGCTTGCGGGCGCGCACCAAGCAAGGCTGGCAAGTGCGCACCAGGAAAGGCTGGCAAGGGAGCGCTAAGCCAGGGGGCGCCAGGCCAGGCCGGTGGGAGAGTCCCCAGGAGGGCTGGCAAGGGAGAGTCAGACCGGGTCGGCGGGAGAGTCCCCAACAAGGCTGGCAAGGGAGCACCAGGCGAGGATGGCGCGCCAGAGCTGTCTAGGCCATGCTAATAGACCATATATCAACAAGTCCCCCCAGTTCGATGTTATTGGTATGCGGCCAATGACATTGGATTGGACTAAGTCATATAAACCAATAGGAGAGTCCCCAGCGAGGCTGGCAAGGGAGTCCCCGACAAGGTTGGTAAGGGAGCGCCAGGGCTGGTAGGAGCGCAGCAGGCCATGCTGGCGCGTTAGAGCAGTCTAGGCCATGCTAATTGACCATATGTCATCAAGTCCCCCAGTCTGATGTTATTGGTACGCGGCCAATGACATCGGACTGGACTTAGTCAAATAAATAAATTGTGCGTCGTCAAGTCCCCTAGTCTGATGCGATTGGGTTGCTGACAATCGGATCGGACTAGATAAAGCACCAATACATTAAATAATAGAGAGAACGACCAAACCTCGCCCACGAGAGTCGTGGTGTTGTACGAAGATCCAAGCATTGCTTATGCAGCTCGAGCTGACTCGATACTTCTTCATTGAGAGGAATGCGATCCGGTCGGTGTGATGCAACGTAACCGTTGTCGCGATCATGCGGAGCGGGGATGCTATGTGGCGAAGATTTCAATAAGGCGTCGGGTCAAGGTAGCTAAGAAACGTTATCTCGCCATTCAGTCCCTGAGACTGCTATCCGACGCAATTGTTGTTGTAGTCACACGCATATGGGATATCACTGATAACCGTATACATAATCTGTTTTGCGCAAGCGTTAACAACCGTCCTGAAGGTGTCTCCAAAGTACGCTATACCTAACTGGATTCCCCCCAGTCTGATGTGGGTAGCATAGGTAGCCAGATCAGACTATGACGAATAAAGCAAGGTTGATATATCAATGCACGACGAAGTTGTTGGCTTAATAAAAGTAGCAAAACTCTTGTTCGAGATGGATGTTGTTAAAACGCTAAGATGTGAGGTTGTTGACCATAACATAGGTGGCAGAGATTCCGAGAGCTGGGCGATTAGGTTCCTAGCGGGGATCATGCAGCGAGACTATTATCGAGAGCCAGGCTGCAGAGGTGCTGATGGATACATGGCGAGGCTACAGGTATGGATTGCGCAGCGAGACTGTCTCCGAGAGCCAAGTTAACCGAAGTGCTGAGGGATTGTAAGTAGCAGGGCTGCTGTCTTGATAACCTTCTTGCTGGAGAGTAACCTCACTTTAACAGGATGTAATGTGGATAACGCTTCATCGATCGTCCGAGCACAAGAGAATCATGATGACTGTGAGAGAGGAAACACCAAGGGTGCGGTGTTAGACGTAAAATAAGCTTGCGATGCGCGACTTATGGTGCGAGACGATGCGAGACTTATGTTGCGTGACTTAGAAGAATATCTTGGGCATAGCAGTTAGCGATCATGGAGATGTCACGGGAGAGCATCGCGTGGGATAGATCGAGCTTAGCTGCCAACGATCGTAAATACGTTACACGGGAGAGCACCACGTGGAATGGATTGAGCTTGACTGCCAGCGATCATAGATACATCACGCAAGGGAACATCGCATGGAATGGATCGGGATTGGCTGCCAGCAATCGTAAATCCATCACGTGGGAAAGCATCGCGTGGAATGGATTGGGCTTGGCTACAAGCGATCGTAAATACGTCACGCGGGAAAGCATCGCGTGGAATGGATCGGGATTGGCTGCCAACGATCGTAGATACATCACGCAGGAGAGCATCGCATGGAATGGATCGGGCTTGGCTGCCAGCGATCGTAGATACATCACGTGGGAGAACGTCGCGTGGAATGGATCGCGCTTGGCTGCCAGCGATAGTAGATACATCACGCCGGAGAGCATCGCGTGGAATTATGTAGGTCAAGGCTGCAATCCTTTGAGCCTTGTTGGCAGAGCATGCCGCTAGAATGGAGTCGAGCTGAGAAGTATGGAGATTCGAGGCAAGGGTGTTGAACCTCGCATGCGGAGCTTGCCGCTATAATGGAGTCGAACTGAGAAATCGGGCGACTCGAGGCGAGGGTGCTGAACCTCACATGCGGAGCTTGCCGCTATAATGGAGTCGAGCTGAGAAGCCAGACGACTCAGGGCGAGGGTGCTGAACCTCGCATGCGGAGCTTGCCGCTATAATGGACTCGAGCTGAGAAGCCAGACGACTCAGGGCGACGTTGCTGAACCTCGCATGTAGAGCTTGCCGCTATAATGGAGTCGGGTTGAGAAGTCAGGCGACTCAAGGCGAGGGTGCTGAACCTCGCATGCGGAGCTTGCCGCTATAATGGAGTCGGGCTGAGAAGTCAGGCGAATCAAGGCGATGGTGCTGAACCTCGCATGCGGAGCTTGCCTCTATAATGGAGTCGGGCTGAGATGTATGGCGATTCGAGGAAAGGGTGTTGAACCTCGCATGCGGAGCTTGCCGCTATAATGGAGTCGGGCTGAGAAGCCAGACGACTCAAGGCGAGGGTGCTGAACTTCGCATGCGGAGCTTGCCACTATAATGGAGTCGGGCTGAGAAGTTAGGCGACTCAAGGCGAGGGTGTTGAACCTCGCATGCGGAGCTTTCCGCTATCATGGAGTCGGGCTGAGAAGCCAGACGACTCAAGGCGAGGGTGCTGAACCTCGCATGGTTGGGCGCAACAACATGCAATCTTTTGTGTCTAGACTGGGTGACCAGTTCGGGTTGAAGTGTAATGGAACCTGATGCTTTGCTGCATCTTTAGTTGTAGTGACGATTGGTGTCTCGCTGTCTTGGTTGTCTGCCGAGGGCTATACGGCAATGCTACTTAGTGTTGGATAATGTAGCTACTGTCAAGTGGTGCGTAGTGAGGCTGTCGTCGAGGGCTGGTTACCAGGGCCGCTGAGAACTAAGCATTGAGCTTCTACCGATAGATGAGCAGCACGACCACTGAGAGATGGGAAATGAGACTACCGAGGGTTGAACCACGAGGCTGCTTCTTTTGATCCAGAATATTCATGTCACCCCGGGAGTGCACTATCATGCATAGTATCAGCTATTCATGTACTTTAACTCTGCCCATTCAGAATCACTATTGCATAGTGTCGTACCGACCCTTCCCCCCCTTTTTTTAGAGGAGGCAAAGAAATGGAAAGATAGATGTATAGCTGCTGAAAGCTGAGGTACATAGTTGCTGGAAAGAGCTAGGCGATGCAAGCGCTGACAAGAGTTGGGCAGCACGGTTGCCGAGAACTAGGCAGCGTGACTGCTGGTCTGACACCGTGACTACTGATGACTGGGCTTTGTGGCTGATGAGTTGGATCGCATGGCCACTGAGGGCCAGGTTGCGCGATTGCTAAGATCCTGACAGCGCGGCTGCTGGGAGCTGAGCAACGAGACTGGCGGGGTCAGATTGTGCGACTGCTGAGGTCCGGCCAGCGCGACTGCTGAAAACTGAACAGCGAGACTAGCGGGAGCCGGTCAACACGACTGGTGAGAGCTGAGTAGCGATACATCCTGGAGCTGGTCAACACGACTGCTGATAGCCATATAGCGTGGTTATCGAGGGCTAGGCAAAGAGACTACCAAGGGATGGTTAGCATGGTTGTTGGGATCCAGGAAGTGCAACCGCCGAGGAGTAGGCTTTACGGCTGCTCTTTCATTTATAATACTAATATCTTCTTGGGAATGCATGACCATATACCATGTCCGCTTGTAGTTCAGCTCTTTGCTTGGAATAACACTTCTGTGGTGTAGTGCCAGCCCCTTTACTCCCCCTCTTATTATTATTATTATTATTATTATTATTATTATTATTATTATTATTATTATTATTATTATTATTTTAAAATGAGGAGTGAGAACGAACGGATATATGACATTGGCTTGCGTTTTCACATTCGAGCCTCATTCGTTTGTACATGCCATTGTAAACAATTACCGTAAGTTACCTAATTCCATAATGAATGGTAATGACAATTAAAGCATGTAGTTTTAGGAGTTGTTTACAACATGTGCATTTATAAGCTTGTAAGGTAAACTTCTTGTATATGCGAAATAAAATGTTTGTGTAGCGTGCGATTAGTAGTTACGAACCAACAACGACAAAACGGTTTGATTAAATCAAAA